AAGAAAGCAGTTTATCAAGTCACTGAAGTTGAGCAACGTGATCGATGGTGGCAATTGTTTGAGGTAGGATAAAATGTATAATATTTTTTGACAAAGTATTAATGTTTAAATGTGAATTATCTACCTATTATAAAAATGTTAAACAATTTTATGTATGTTTTCTATCATTAGCAAAAATACCCGTGGGAACCCTACTATGGAAATGTTATAAGAAAGCGATTTGCTTCTCGTGCCTCCAAATGGTTGAGTAAAAATATAGGCCAGGCAAGACATCACAACAAGAAGCCGAATTGGATTGGTGATAGGGTTTGGTTGGTTTTGAAAGAGTATTGGGAAAGTGATGCTTTTAAGAAAAAAAGTATAGTAGGAAAACAAAATTGTAACTCGGAGAAAGATAAACAATCTCAATATCGGGGTGGCCTTATTCCGATCACAACTCATGTTGAAAATGGTATATAATGTTTGATATAATCGTTTAATATTCTGTTTTAGTATTTGTATTTACTGTTTTAGCAATTTGTTTGAATTATTTTAATATTAATGTTTACTATTTTATTTGTTTTAAGTTTCTGTTTTCGTTTTAAATGTTTAATTATTTTTAAACAATTTGTTTAAAACAATTTGTTTTAAACAATTTCTGTTTTACTGTTTTAGCAGTTTGTTTTAATGTTTACTAGTTTTGGCAGTTTGTTTGACTTATTTATTAAAGTATTCTGTTTTTGTCTTAATAGACTAAGAGTTTGAATCGTCGACCGCTGAAAATTGAGGTGTTTGAGAAAGTGTGTGTGCCTAAGATTGGCGAACCCGTGCTTGTGTGGTTGAAACCCTGGTGTGTTTATTTATTGATCTTTGTATTCTGAAATAGCAGTTTTTTCGGATGTAGAACTTTTTTTTTGTTTTGGCAGAACAAATACAATGAAATTAAGGCCATTGCGAAATATGAAGGGAAGTCGTATGATGAAGATGATTCATAGTTGCTTTGCAAGGTTGTGCCGAAGTATAGAGGGCGCCGGTATGGGACCAGATCAGAAGCTGAATCACTAGAAAGCGTTGACTGCCAGAGCCGAGGGTGAACACAAGAGGAGATAGATCAACACATTCGGGAGGAGGTTGAGGCACACTTCACGCAGCACCAGCAGGAAGTTCAAGCTCAAATGACCGCTCAAATGGCCAATATGTCTGGAGCCTTTATGTCTTTTTGGAGCAAGTATGCAGCAGTAACCCGCCCATCCCATTGCCCAACTTTTCTAGCTTTCGAACTCCGACAGCGGTGCCTATGTTGTAATTTTCTGTATAAAACTTTATGGGCTTATATGTTATGGTTTTTGGACATCCCGTATAATGAATCTCGACAATTGGTGCTACTTTATTGGGACACCTTCTACCCCAATAAACAATGTGACTGTTTTATTGTTTATGCTTGTTTGACACCATTATGGTTAATTTGTTCATTTTATTTCTTTCTTTTAATTTAGCTATTGCTTGTGTATAAAAAACATATACCGTATAGGTGTACGGTAAAACTGTACACCTGTACGGTATTTGTTTTTTACATGGTTTTGATTTGGCTCAGTTTTGTATCTCAGATAAAGTTCAAATTTGAAAATTTTGAATTTTTCCCTGCCAAAATTTTGATTTTTAAATCTCATCTTAGTTCTGTTGTGACGATACGAATAAAGCGAAGTTGGCACAAAATTTAGCCGAGACAAGCCTATCAGATTTTAAGGACTACACGGTCATGCAAAAGCGGAGCCAAAGACCGTGCCAAAGTTGGAACAGAATAAAATTTATGTGCCAAACCATTTGTCTCGAACTGGGTGTCTTGAAAAAATTTCCGAGCCAAAACCGAGCCAAACCCGTTAGTCTGTGAATTATCTGAAGGATTCCCTGCCAAATTCCTTGCCTATAGCGAATTTTTTTTTGTAGTGCATGTCAAAACAACCCGACCCGCAATGACCTGCCCTGACCCGAGACATTTGGGGCGGGTCTGGGTATTAGTATTGACCCATGCCATCCCCGCTCAATATATAAGTATACATACTTTTTTTAATCATACTACAAATATACTTCTATATACATATGTGCGTATATAATAAATCATAAAGTCTTTGGTCTTGTAATATATTAATATTTATATTTGAATGAGATAAATGACGAATTATCAATGTCTTATCTAGCATTTTAATTTATATGCTCTATTATTAATTTAAATAGATTTACTATTCAAGTCTAAGTACTATTTTCTTATTTTTTGAAATTTTTAGCGCATTTTGACTTTGATTTTATATATTATCTCTTTAATAATTATTTAAAGATAAACTTTAAGTAGACTCAAGTGGTAGCAACTTAACACAAATTAAAATGCATACTAGCTAATTAGGTTACAGTGGGGTGGGTGGGGCAGACCCGCCACGCATGGCGCGGGCCATGGGTCAACAAGTTTGGACCCGTGCGGGTCACGGGGCGGCGCGGGTCGACCTAGTGAAGTCACGGGGCGGGTCCGGGTCTTGCAGTACCTGCCCCGCCCTGACCCATTGCCATGCTTACTTGAAATGAGTATTTTTTTTATTAAAATGAGTAAAATTTATCGTATAAGACTATTTATAATCCCAATTTTTTAAAATAATATCTTATTCGTTGATTAGTTAAATGAATTAAAGGGGTTATTCCTTCAATATTACTAAATTAAATGTGATTTCCTAAAATGTGACCACTTTTACATTTGGACAAAAATGTGACTAAAGTAGTCACATTCATGTCATTACCACATTTTAATGTCACTGGTCAAATTTAATGTCACTATCGAATATCACTGTTGCCACCACCGGTGTCACTATAGCCACCGCCCGTGTCACTGTGGCCACCGTCCGTGTCATTGTGGTCATCGCCCGTGTCACTGTGCCACCACCCCAGCTTGTGACTGTCGCATCCGCCCCCGACCGTTGACTCCTGCCCCTCCGTAATTCACCTACCCCTCCCCATCCCACCAGCACCGTCCCCAACCCCTGCACAATTGCTGCCCCGAGCCACACCCCGTAGCCCTTCAACAGCGCATCCCAGCATTGTGCTGCCGTCGTCGCCCCAGCTTCGGCCACCGCCCCAGCTCCGGCCACCACCCCAGCTTTCGGTTTTGTATATTTCCGTACCGAATACCGAACCGAACTAAATCGGTTTGGTTTGGTTAAAACCGAAAAAAATTCGGTTTGGTAATCGGTAAAACCGAATTACCAAATAGGCATTCAGTATTTAAATATAAATATTTAAATATAAATATATAAATATATTATAAATAAATGTATTATATTAAATTTTAATAATTAAATATTATATATATATATATATGTAATAGATAACGAAATATATATAAATATACCAATATTAATATATTTTGGGCCATAATTTATAAATATATTATACATTTATTATTTATTATTTATATTATTTCAGTATTCGATACATACCGAAAACCAATTTTTTTATATACATACTGAACCGAATACCGATTTTTCAAAATTACACGTACCGATTACCGAACCGAAATTTTGGTTCGGTATTTGGTACATACCGAAATTTCGGTATCGGTTTGGTTCGGTCGGTTTACCGAATTGTGCACACCCCTATCACTGTCCAAATAGCCCCAACAGATCCTCCCCCCCCCCCCCACCAATGTCCACCACGAGCATACATGCCCTGCTACGGCCAACCTCGTCTTTACACCAACTCCTTTCCATCTGCCACTCCTCCCTGCCCCATCCTAGCCTGATCAATTCCATAGAACAATACTTCCAGATCTGCTCTGAAATCCGACGAAGCATGTCTCCATCGTTCGTCTTCTCCTCCATCACTGAAACAGTTGCTAACTTCAGCGATTAATGACGACGAGCCCCAAGGAGGGGCGGCACCGATGGGGATCGATCTCTTCTTCACCAGTTTCAGACACAGATCGGGGTGGTGCGTGCATCGAAGGTGATTGCAGATTAACGGTGATGGCTAGGGATGCGGCATCAGGGTTTCTGAGCAATGAGGTAGTCTGCGCCCAGAGATCAGGGCGGTCGTGGTGCTACAACGAGGCTTTTATCGGGTCGAATTGGGCATTGACGGGCTGGTGCGTTCAGTGGATGGGCAACGGGACGGAAGAGGCAATGGTGCGTTCAGAGATTCCCTGCGGAAGAAAGAAGATGAAGTACGCGGAACGAGAAGGTTAGCGGGACCGAAGAGGCAATGGACCGGGTCACTTTTATGGCATTTCAAAAAATGGTCATATTTTTGTCCAAGAGAAGTTGATGAGTTACATTGGTGCCATTCTTTCCGATTTAAACTAAAATTCATCACAATTCCGCTAGTGAAATACGGAGTATTTAATTAAACTTGAAGTATTGTTTCAAAACTATCTAATCTTTTCACAGTTAATTTTTGACGCCGAGATGTTTTTATGCTTCATCACATGTAAGGCTGATCTACCACGTACAATAGTTCAGTAGAGTTTGTTGGTTATATATTCTAAATATAAAACCTCCATTTGGAGACCAAAGTATTATAATAATAACAATAATAATAATATACTTCGTATTATTATTACTACTACTATTATTATTATTACTATTATTATTGTTATTATTATATGCGTCCCATATTATTTTGCAAAGTCAACATCTTTTAATATTAAAGTTAAATCTTCCCCATTGATAATTAACTCAATTTTTATAATTAAAATTACATATTCAGAAAGTACATTTAAATTTCTATAAAAATGAAAAATCCAAATTAATAATCCGTATTTAATAAAGTTTTGATGTCATAATTTAGTGAATAAAATGACTATGTTTGATCCAAAAAGTCTATTTTGCATCTCAATTTGGGACGGAGATCTCAATTTGGGATGGAGAAAGTATGTATTCATACTCTTTGAGGCTCATAAATATTCTAATACATATCGTTGAATTTCATGGGTGCATTTAAACAATATCTTTAGCCAAAAACTTAACATATGCTACACATACCAATGTTGAGGGAAAGAGTCTTTCGCAGCTTGCCAAGGGCACCTGAAGGGTGAGGCCCGGCCATCACGTCATCCCAGCAGTCGGCCATTTTCTTTCTGATTATATATATTAGTTCTCTAGTGTTGCAATATTATATTGTGAAGACAATAATATTGTCAACCCCAAATTATATATTCTTATATTACCAGATGTTAAAGCTTAAATTTCTGCGGATGACTTGCAGTCTGTTAGAATAACTTCCTCCATTTGACTTTTTCTCTACAAAAATATAAATGCTCCACCTATTCAATCATGTATATACTCCATTTGGTTTACTTAAATATATATTGAATAAAAAACATAGAATTAATCTCATAATTATCCTTAATGAAAATAAAACACCCTAAACAGGACTAAAAATTCATTTTGTACTCCTAATACTCATAATCTACTCAATTAATATAAGAGAAAATTCCTTATATAGGACTAAAAATTCATTGTTTTCTTCTTAAAATAGGACTTATTCACTCTAAATAGGGAAAATTTTACACTTTTAATAGGATCAAAAAAGTTCTTTTTTCCGGAATAAAGTACATGTAGACCTATCTGTGCGTTTTGTCTAAGTTTCAGTCCTATTCAGAGCAATTTCTATTAATATAATTAATTGCCCCTAATTCCCTTTGATAACTGAGTCAATCCATTGGTGACACAAAGTCTGGCGGCGCGGAAGTGAAGCTCTGGCTACCGCGGCTGCAGATGCATTCTGCGATTTTTTTGGCTGTGGCAGCGTCAGATTCTGACGGTCAAAATAGGGCGACTCTCATGTTTTTATTCTCTAAATATGAGTAATTACTACGGAGTATCATATTTTGGCAATACAATGATGGTGTTTTTTAAGGTTGACAATAATTACTTCTATTTAAAGAATAAAAACATGATAATTTTATTTTGAAATTCTCATATATGTTTGCTCTCATTTTGGAAATTTTGCCAATCATTTATAATACTACCTGCGTCCCTGAAAATACTTCCAACTTTCCCTTTTCGTCCGTCCAAAAAAGAATTCCACTTTCCCTTTTTGGTAAAGAATTTATGGTTCACCACAATTCTTACACATTTGTCTCTCATCTGCACGACTCTCCACCACACAAAACCAACTTCTTAATCCATGTGTCATTTGTACTACGGAAGTAAATTATGGGACAGAGGGAGTACTGTGTAGTAAAGTACCATTGTCTTACCATCCTTATACTCACACTTCTATACCGTTCAACACAAAAGATGTTTTTTTTATCCATAAAAATTTGCACAAACAAAACAAGACATTTTATATTCGATCCATGGTATAAGAGTGATTATTGCACTAATAATGATTGGTGTTAGATTTGACCGGAATTGCTTAGCACATGATTTTTACAAACTACGGGAAGCTTTTGCTACTTAAGGAATTATGTTATGACTAAAGACACCACTTTAAATACCGTTGACAATGATAACACCATCATTATTTCTCCCTGTTATTATTTCTCGACTGGTAGCTAGCTGCTCATCACGTCCGCCGTCCGCGGTGATTTTTCTTCTCCACACTTCCGCTTTCTCTCTAAATTTTTGCAAGGAAATGAAAGCATAAAAAAGTTGAAGTCAGAGGCAGATCGGGCAGGGCCGAAGCCCACACTAATACATTAAAGGCGCAGACTCGGAAGTCACATCGTCGTTGAGTACTCCGGGTCCTCTTCAGTCTTCGCTACTCGAAGTCCAGAACGCGAAATTCATCCGTCTAGTTCTCTTCGTCAGCCAGTCACGCACTCACGGCTTACGTCAGTTTCTGGTCGGCCGTCGGCGCACGGCGCCTGAGCGCCTCTATTTGCTAGCCGCCTGGTCTCTCAGTCTTTGCTCTGCGCCTCTGCAGATTTGATGTAAGCTTTTTAATTGTTTTCTTTTGTTATACTTTTTATTTTCAGCTTTAGAAATCCGAATGCAGCCTATATTTCCAGAACTCTAGACTTTAGTATTTCCACAAATTAGGAGTTCCAGAAATTAGAATTTAGGAATTATTTCCAGAATTCTAGCTTCATTCTTTATACTTTGATTCGCTTTCAGCTTTATATGGTTCTAATTTATAGTTATGTTTACTTCTGATTTGAGTGAGCCACTGGCCATTTTTAACATTTATAACTAATGTGATTAGTGTTTTGTATGTTCTGATTTGTCATTTGTGAGCATCATTTACCTTAGCATCAATGTGATTGTGATTTTTATTATTAATCTCATTGTTTGATACTTCGTCATTGATAGAATGATAGTAATGACTCTCTCAATGATAGGCTTCTTGTTTACGTAGAAAAAGACATTCTTGAAAACCGACAAATGATATTAGTCAATCAAAACCCTTACAGAGCAGTTGTAAATTCATGGTGTTTGTTGTATTTGACTTGGATGAAAACTCTTATTCCTGCAATATTCATTTTTGTCTTTGCCTTTTTTGTTGCAATAGATGTTTTATATACCTAATAAATTTTGTCCCCCACTGAATGCCATCCCTAGATTCGCCCCTGGTTGAAGTATAAGAATGCAAATAAGGAGAAATTGAAGCTAGGAGTCCAGTGAAGTTTTACTCCAGAATGCACAGCTTTCGCTTCTTCTTCATCTTCATCACTCTCTGCTTTGCTTTCAAGCTCTCCTCTGCACTTGGTCATCTCTCTTTCTCTCTCATTCTCTCTACATTCATCTAATAATGTATAATTTAAATAATTAAAGTTATTTTCTGCGGGTTTGATGTTATCTAAACAAGTATTATGTTGCTTACTTAAAAGATTGTGTGGCTGCTTTGTCTTTCTATTTCGAGTTTAAGTAGTTGATTTGGTTAGATTTGTTTGAAGTTTTACTACAAGTTAAATATTTGTTTGGATCTAATGGAAAGATGATTGGAGATAAAATTGGAAATATGACACTCATAAGTCACAAGTTTTTCTTTTTAGGATGTTTTTACTTGGACTGTTTTCAGTCCCAGACCAGATCAGATCAGACCAAACTTGTTCAGTTATAAGTATCAGACATTTACCAGACCAAAAAATTCCAGTCCAAGTAAAAACATCCTTAGAGAAAGACTAAATCTTGAGATTAGGTATCTATTTAGTAATGCACTTCGCCTTTTCTACTTTTTTTATATTTTTCTTTTACTCCAGGGGGCGTCTGGGGGAGGGGGGCTGGGGGCCTATTGTAATCAGGGCTGAAACTCACTTCATTGAGTTTCAAACCCTTATGTGCCTAGCGGGTTTCGAACTCGAGACCTCTCACTAGGCACGGTAAACTCACGACCAGCTAGGCTGGAATGCTTGGTTGCACTTCGCCTTTTCTACTTATCACCAGTATACTAGTTTTTCTACTTATCATTAGAATACTAGTTTCTGAGTTTACTTATATCTTAAATGGACCTTATGAAAAGCTTTTCCTTCCCAATATTCTGACGGTTTTGCCGTTTAATTAGTTTTCACCCATCTTTAATCAGTTTAGATGGGATGCTGACACGTTACTCCAGTTTTCAAACATAATTCTCTATTAAGTAACTAACTTTGGTTCTGAATGTGGTAATTACTTTGTCATACATTAACAGACATACTTTTATTTATTTTATTTATGCATTATAATTAACAAACAAAAGTGAAATGAATATGGAAATGCAACTTGGTCATTGTATCAAGATTTACATTTGGTTAATGCACAATTGTTTGAGTATGGAGGGAGTGTTTTAAACATCGTAGTGTAGGGGTGTCCCTGGTTCGGGACCGGAACACACCGCTGGTTCTCGGTTCCAAATTTTGGGGGACCAGAACCACACAACACCGGTTCCAAAACCGGCAGATCCGGTTCCAATCCGGTTCAGTTTTCCGATTCCATTTCCTTGCTTTTTAGATATTAAAGTTTAGTTACTTTTTAAAAAAATTAATTAAGAGTAACTAATACAATTATTCAAATAAAAGAATTCCCAAAACATTATTAGTAAAAATAATACTCCGTATTTATCATTGCTATAACAAATACAATAATAAGATAAGTAATAGCGAAGTACTTATAGTTTAGATTGTACAAATCTACAAGCTTGTATTTTAAAATAATTTAGTTACTAATAAATTATGCATACTTGTTAGTTGTTACTGGTAATTTTAATCAAAAAGTATTATAAGTTTATAACTAGTAATAACTAAATATAAGTAACTAGTAAAACATATAATTGTTATTTCTATTATTAGTAAAAAATGAAAAAGGGTCAAATAGATCTCTCTACTATTTCCAATATACTAGATAAGCCCCTATACTAAAAAAGAATCATATAATGACACTTACATTAAGAAATCGATCAATCTTGTCTTTTAACTAGTTTTGACCTATAATAGCTAGTTTTTATATTGATGTACTCTAAAAATTAGTTAAAGTTCGAAGAAATATAAATAAAAATTGTGGACAACTTAAAAATGTCAAAGTCTATATTTTTGCATTTTTGGAATTATTCATATACTCTACATCTTTTTAAAAGTTAATACATTTTAATTGTTATATTTCTTACACTTTCACTTTATTTTTTCATTTTTATGATTTTTTTATTTTAACATTTTAAAATTATTTATCTATTTATGATTTTATAGTATTGTTTATATTACTTTTAAAATGTATATGAATTTGTATATGATTTATCAATCGTTTTAATTATTATTTTTAAAATAACCTACTATACAGATTAAAATAGCTTGAGTGACTGCGCTATTAAAGTAAAAGTACTTATATGATACTTGATACCTTTTTAGTATAGGGACTTAAGTGATGGATTGAAAATAATAAAAGGGTCTATTTGACCCTTTTCCCTTACAATTATATTGTTATTATTGGTATTTGTATTATTATTAAATAATTAAAAAGACAGGTTCCAAACTGGAACCGGAAATTGTGTTTCCATTTTTCGGGTAGGTGAGCGGGACTAGTAAACCTTCGGTTCCAAACCGGAAGTACTAAGCAATTCATGTTCTCGTTCTGGTTAAAAAATTGGCAGTCCCGGTTCGGTTCCGGTTTAACCGGAAACAACCGATAGGTCTACGGTCTACCGTTATGTAAAACTTTTCAATAGATATGATATTTTAGTA